CACCCCTGTCTTTCCAAGGATGTGTTTATGTGTTTGAGCTGCTGAAGACCGGCCGCATGCCATCTTGGTCACCAGTGCTATGCACGGGTCCTCGCCACCCATGAGGCGTCCGCACAGCTGCCGGTTTGGATATTGCTGGAGCGGAAGGGGATTTGGGGGGAAGTGGCACCCAAGAGGTACAACAGATTTGAGTTTCAGCCTTTATGATGGCCGGCGATGTTTACGCTGGGGCAGAATCATGGGGTCATGTGATACCGGTTTGGGGTTTTTATTCGTGTGTTTTATAAAGCATGTACTTCATAATATTCCTGATTAGAAAAGCCATTAACATGCCACTAGTCCAGCCTGAAGGGCAGTTCGGTGTCTTCTGAGATCCAGTATCGCCAGTCGGTCCATCATGTGAACTGACTCTCCTCGGGGAAGTAAAAACACTTGCGGCCTTCGCGGTAATAAATTATCGACCAGCGTGAGATGTTTTCACTGGACTCCGGCCTTGTCGCGGCCTCACATGCCCGCTCTCATCGCGCGTGACCTCAGAGGCCGAGGCCGTGGTTATAAAGAGAAAAAGCAGCATCACTGGTGGAGTTAGGGTTTCCAGAAATGGCATAAAGGACGTTAAATACCCAGCAGGCTCCTGTGAGGGCGGTCGGTGCTGATCTCAGTGGCGTTTAACCAAAGCGACCTGGGGCTCATCCCTGGCTGTGACAGAATCTGTCGCCTCTCCCTCTCTCACTTGTTTTTTGTTTTCTCCTTAGTGGCTTCTTCAGCTCGGGGCTGCTCAGACGGGCGCGTTCTTGCCGGGGCGTGACCTCTGACCCTGGTCTGGCGAGCAGGTCACTCCCAGGCGTTGCGGCGGCGGCTGGCTGCAGGCCAACCCGCTCGCACCAGCTGCCGTCGGCTTTTATGTTGCGGAAGGAGGCACTTTGGCACGGCCTGTCGGAAACGTGTAATTAGTTGATCGGAAGGAGCGTTGCCATGGTAACCTCAGAAGTGAGGGGAAGTCTCTGGGGAGTGGGGGGGCTCGCGGTCGAAACTCCACCGGGACACTGCTGGGGAGCGCCTCCTGTTGAGACACCAAATAGAAACGGAAAATATGGACGTACGTCGGCAGTGGAGCCCCCTAGAGGTGGGAGCGTTCTCCTCCTCCGACCTTGTTGGACAGATGCTCATCTGCGCTGGTCGCTCACCAGCTCTCCGAATTGCCCCCCCCCCCCCCCTCGGGCACAGCTGCGTCTCTGCCTTTGGCTGCCAGCTTTCGACCTTCGGTGACAAACGGCCGAAGCCCAAAGCACGAGGGACGAGGCATGCGCTTTGCCAGGAAGCCATTAGCGCTCGACGGCCGCGAGGAACAGCCCCCTCTGCCCCGATTGGCTTAATCCCATCTCTCTCTCTCTCTCTCTCTCTCTCTCTCTCTCTTGTGCTCACAAACTCGCGGCAACCTGCTCACGTGTCCCACTGGCTGCCGCCGGCGGTTTCTGGTCGTTTAGAAAAACTTTAACCTTGACCTGGCGAAAGGGTAGTGTGGCTGTGGGGTGACGGGAGAGGGCAGTGAACCAGGAACCCCACCCCCCCCTCCCACTGCCCGGCGCCCTCAGGCTGATGTGTGATCCAGGTGAAGAGATGCAGTGATACAGGTGCAGTTTTGGATGACAGTGTGAGTGTTCCTGTTAACCTTGCATTAACTACCCCCCCCCCCCCCCACACACACACATACGCGCGCATCCTAAGCTCAAGGGGGGGGGGTCCGGTCCTCTGTGGGTGCTGGGCTTCTCCACACCATGTGGTGCGGCACTCGGAATAGAGGCGCGGTAATCGCGATGACACGGCCTCGGCGGACGGCTGGAGTGTTGCTCGGCGGAGCCGTCACTTCATCTCCACCTCCATCTCTTCCCTCTCTCCCACCACGACCACCGTGTAGTTCGGGGCAGCCCGTGCCGGGAAAAGCATCCAACTGTTGGTGCGGGGGGTGAAATCCGGACATGCTGCCGTCCTTGGGAGATCGGAGAGGCCCTGCAGTGAGAGGCATCGCGGAAGGAGACGGGGATTAAGACGAAGTGAAACTTTTAAGCTTGTGTTCTTCACTCCATAAATTTTCGTCGTCTTTGTCGAATGTCCCCCCCCCCCACCCCCACCAAAAGCCTCCATTAGGAATTCCGTGCGGGATTTAAGTTTGGAAACGCTTTGATTAAGACACTAACTACTGCTTAATGATTCAGGAGATCAAATTTCCTTTGTATTAATGCTTCCTTGTTAGATTTACTTAGGGCTAATACAGCTAAATTAATCTATCCCTGGTTCTTACTGTGTAGTTTCTGCTGGTCTGTCCTCTCCGCATCGCCCTTGGTAGGGGGGGGGGGGGGAGGTAGGGTTTGTCCTCATGTGGTCGGTGGATTTTACAGGCATCTGATGAGCCGGTGTCTTGACCTCGTGACCTCAGCGCTGGAAACTCCTAGAAATCTAGTTTTATGCTCCATGAACATCCTACCAATCAACTGAAAACTGCTCCTTGTTCAGAACTCACAGCCTCGTTTAGCGAGATGGTCATTTGTCTCTTAGCATTTTTTGTGGACGATTTAAACCGTCGCAGGAGCATTGTGTGTGTGTGTGTGTGTGTGTGTTTGTGTGTGTGTGTGTGTGTGTGTGTGTGTGTCCTTTCTGCATGGCACCTATCAAGGATCGATCATGGCCGTTTATATCAACACAGCCACATGGCAGTGATGTTAATGAAAAGTCAACTGTGAAATTAAGTGCTGTCATAAAGTCTTACGGCATGCAGTATGGGCTTTATGGATGATTATGGTATGCTGCTTATTTTTAAACTTTTAATGACTTATTTAGGGGTTTTCGACCTCCCGTTAAATGCATGTGCTGCGGTAATGATGCTTCTATAGTACGGCTGAGGCCGTTTTGCCGTAATCGTAGAGGAATGCCTTCGTCTGCGTGCCCTACCTCTGCCCTGTCCTCCCCCGTCTCCCTTCCGAGTTTCCGGAAAGCGAGTTCTCCTGGCAGAGCCGGGGGTCTACGGGGGGTTGATTTTTCCAAACTCACTGACGTGGAGCCTGCAGTCGTCCCTATACGGGGGTGGGGGAGGGGGGGGCAGGACTTGTCACGGTTTTTGAGTGGCTGATGGGACACTGATGAGGCTGCTTCCCTTCCTGCTGCGTAGCTTTTGGAAAAGTGCGATTTGTGTTCTTTTATCTCTCTAGTTTGGGGGAAACACACACACACACACACATGCACACACACACACACACGCAAAACAAACAAACAATTGCATTTAAGACTAAGAGAAAAGCCAGGCCAGCTAAATGTAATCACAGCGATAGTAAAGTTCTGATAGACTGAAGCAATTTAATGTCTATTGCCTGTGACTCTGGGGTCACGACAATTTAGAGTGTGCTAATTCCGTTAAAAACCCACTAATATAGATTTATTAAAGAACCCTGTGCACGTTCAGCAGGCTTGGAAACAGAAGGTAAACTCGTTTCAGGGGGATGTTTTTTTAAGCGGCGCGCGAATGGCGTGTGAACACGCCGGGACCAAAGTCAAGCAGCGCCGAACTATGTGTCAGAGCTGGTCGCTGGGGTGGGGGGGTGGTGGCGGAATGACACACGACAGATAATCCTTTAAGCCAAGAGCGCTCTGCGCCATTTCTGCGCTGCCTTATCACCCGTTTGAGGTCCAGCGCATCTATTAATTTTTAAAAACTCTTTGACTTTCATAAAGTTGTAACGGTCGCTCCGCGGCGTTGCTGCGGTCCACGGTTCCATGGGGGTGGAGGAGCGTCTATCCTAGAGCCTGTTTCCTTAAAACTGTCACCCTGCTGTGAGGCTTCCGGAAGCCTCCACCCGACTAGATATATCTAAAACTTTAATTTAAATTTGTGTCATATCTACCTGCTGTCAGGAATATGATTGGTAGGAATTCCCCCCTCCTCCGCCTAGTGAGTAACTCTATTTATCTCGCTGAGTCAGAGCTCTGATTCTCCTTAACAGACACACATGACTAAATCCAGCCACCTGCTCATGTGTAATTTACATCTGGCGAACCAGGCCGGCCACCACTGACTTTAACTGCCTGTGTGTAATTCTACTTAAAACGGCAGCAGTATAGCGGTTTAATCTGGATTTCGAACCTCTAAAAAACGTGTTCTGGCGATCTTGCGGTTCCTCGACTGTGATCACATTTTACTTTGTGCTGTTTTTTTTTTCTTTTGGCGCTTTGGACAAAATAAATCCCAGGAAACTCATTTTCCCTTTTTTTCTTTCTTTTTTTTGACGTTTCGAGAAGTGCCGAGTGACCAAATCTGAAGCGAATGGCGTTTTCAATCTCCGCGCGCGACAAGGTCACGGGCATTGGCGGGGCGGGGCGGGGTGAGGGGGGTTCGGGGTTTTACGCCGTAACAATAAAATAGAACCTTTTGAAAAGGCAGCTGCGTTTCCTTTTTAAGGCTGTTTCTTAAGCCGCGTGAGCGGAGGAAACTTCTGGAGAATGGCTTTGTAAGCTGTGCCGCACTCTGACAATCTGGGCTTAAATGTCAGCTGCCGTGGACAGCGAGCTCGGCACTGTGGGGGGTGGCGGTGGTTAAGCGCTTAAAACGTTTGCCTGTCCCCGGTCTGAACTGGCGAGACACTCTGATTGCGATCCGCGTGAAACCTGTTCATTAAATAGTACGGAAGGTTCTGGACGGGTGCTGGCAGTCCCTGATTGGCTGCTTGACATATCAAACCGCAGGACATTATTTTCGTTTCCCTCCATCTTCCCGTGTTGTTTTTATGTTTGTTTATTTTATGTATATTTGTTTATTTGGCTCATGCCCATTCTAAGAAAGGCATCTTGCCTCAGCTGATCCTCAGAGCCATGCCACGTGACATATGTGTGTATCACGAGACCCTGGCGAAGGTGATCAAACCCGAGTGTCGTCGTGCTTGCCGATGTCAGTGATGTGGTAGTGGGAGAAGTGATTATCATAAAAGGGATAATGAGTTTGATAAACTGAACTGTTGATGGGGAAACCCACCAGAAAATTTTAAATGTTATTGCATCATCTCTAAATGACTTGTACTGGTTTTTTGACCATAAAAATGAAGGATTGTGGGAAAAATTACAGGAACCAACCAAAAACAGGTGTGCCGCACCGGGTATCTGGGTGTTAACTCTGAGCCGGTCTTTCCCGCACACAGAAAAGCAGTGGCAGCGTTTTAATAAAATGTGTATAAAAAGTCGTGAAGACGAGTGATGCTTCCGCGATGAGGAGAGGGGTGGGTGACCGGGAAGCTCTTGGGAGCAGGCGGCGAGGCGCTGAAAGAGTGCGCTTTGGCAGGCAGCCTGTGCCAAAGTTTCCTTTTTTTCCTGCTCTCCTCCTTTCTTATTGAAAATGCCAGGACGACTGGGAGCATAATCTTCATTCTTCGAGTGGCTAATTAAAACTCTGTGATGGCTCTCTTTGTATCTACACTTTGTGTCCAGCTGCATAATTTCCATGTGATTTCCGGCACTGTACATCCCAAGATGCCTTTAAACGTCGCTTTGCTGTGCCTCCCCCCCCCGAAACCCCACCCCTGCCATCCTTGCCACCGGCTCCTTCGGAAGCCCTTTATAACGCCTTATGACAACTGAGGCGCGCTGTCAGAGTGTAATTAGCCGCGGCGGCGGCGGCCGTAACCCTGACAGGCTGTCAGTCGCTGTGACTGGCTGCCTTTTCTCTCCTGACGGGCGTTACGCGCCGCGTATGCCGCCGTAATGAAAGCCCGCTCGAAGGGTTGTCATAGAGAGTGTTACCGTGGAGAGGGAGTGCTCTCTCCTCAGCACCCAACTTTTGAGGGGAGATCGAACTGTGAAAGCACTACTTTGGCGGCCCCGGCTTCCGTTACGGCAGTCCCTTGTCCGCTGAGCCCCCCTGCAACCCCCCCAGGCAAACTTTAGCTGCTTAATTTATACTCAGTTTTTTAAATACCAAGTCCTCCTGCCCCGAGAGGCTCCTGACCACCAGGGGGCGATGCATCAAGGTGGATCTTTGGCCCGGGTCTCCAGGGTCGCACCACCCACTCGCTGGTTCTAAATCATGACTCCATCTGGTCTGGAGAAGGTTACTCGCCGGCACTGTGTCAGCCTCCACGCTCCGGTCTCTTGGCTGATTGGCCGGGCGTGCAGCTGGGTGCCACGGAGGCAGTGCCCACGGGGGCATCGCTTAGCGGGACCCCCCTCCGGGGTGGGGGCCGGGCCCTGCTGTCAGCCATCTGGGCTGGCCGCACACCACGGCGAGCGGGACCTGGGCCCGGGGTGCCTCTCGGGACCCTGCCGGGACCCACCCGTATCAGGCCTGTGCCCTTTGGTTCTTCGGAGCCATTGATCTGAGCCATTATCTCCCAGCTGGAACACCCTCCGCCCCCCCCTCCCCTCCCCAACCCCAGCCGCTGAAAGGTCAGCGCGGCGGCTGTGGGCTTGCGAGCCGGGGGCGGCCTGCGGGGGCACCAGGCGGCGCAAGACCCGGCGACGCCAAGGACAGCTCATAAAGTTCCAGCCCGATGTGTTTGCACTACGCAGACGGAACACGATCCAGCGCTTTTTAGCATGGTGACGTTGTCAAGTATAGCTTGAGGCCTGGCGAATTTTATTTAATACAGTGTGACGGCAATTTTCTTTAAAAAATAAAGTGACGCTGGAGAGCCTCGCACGGTTTGCGATGGAAGCGACCTGGCCGCCCTCCCGCCTTGGCGTGTCTGTGTGGAGGTGTGGAACCTTTCATCCATGTATGTGATTCTAAATATAGGGCAGGAATACTGCCCCCCAAAGGCAAAACAGAGTAACTACGCCGACACTGAAACTGAGGGAAAGGGGCATATTAATTCGCCTGTGTGGGTAGTGGGTAGATAAATGATAGATATTTTGTCTGAGACCCCGTTTCTGTAGTTTTGATAAAAGCAACGATGGTGTTTGGCCTGTGTACCGGCGAAATCTGGCATTTCCCGTTTCACAGTGCAGTTTAGAGAAGCGGATTTCATAGCTGTGAAGTACAGTGAGACTTCATGCATCCCCCCCCTCCCCCCCATTGGTACGCAGATATGGGGTCCCGGTCTCCCCCACCCCTGCCTGGCGGATTAACATCCTCACCATCTTCCCCTCGTTAAGCGCTAACGGGCGTCCGCCGCATGGTGAATAAAGGCCGATTCATTTCCCGGGAAGGCTGACCGGGTGCGATTAATGATCCACTTCAGCTCGCCGATATATATCTGCTGTTAAAATACAGCCGGCAGCCCTGCACCGGCACGGAAGGGAAGCGGCGGCCATCAAGAGGGGCTTGAATTACAGGGTCTCTGTCTTTTTTTCCCCCTGAATTATACCGTGTAAATAGCCTTGGTTTTTTTTTTATGTCTGACGGGTGACGTGGAAGCACCTTTTCACGCAGGGTGTGTTCGACAGCGGTTACGTCGTCTAAACCCCCCGCCACTAAGGAAAACATAACCTCATTCATAACAGGAGGTGGGGGGAAGGCCACACATTTACACCCACACAGCTCTCCGGAGCCCAAGTCGGCACGCGGCCGGTTCCCATTTTGTTTACGTAGTTAAAAAAAAATTCTAAGTCGGAAAGCTGTTGCCTGCCCCCCACTTGTTATTTTTTTATCTCCTTTGTAAGGTGGGGGGCGTATCTCCTCTGATGATAGCAGAGTGAATATGTAGACTGCGACGCTGTCAATGTCTGCCAGAGAAAGAGGACCCTCCCCCACCCCGCCTTTTATCGGAACTTTATTGAGCGTCCGTGGTTCGGCGCGCTCGGGTGAATCGGGCTGGGATTGGTGAGCGCAGAAAGGTGTCTTTATGTAAATGACCGACTCTGTGTAAGAGCCATTTCCGCAATGGGAGCCAGCGCTCTCCGCCAAGGGTGACCCTGACCTCACTGTTACAGCACTGAATAGAGCTTTCTTCCAGGCTACGTTTTCGGTTTATATATTCAGCCTATTCTAATGAGCCTTTTGACTTTTTAGGTTCATTAATACAGATAAAAAAGTTTTTTTTTCCCCCCCAGCGATGATAATTGGAAGAATGGCATCACTGTTTTTTTTTTTTTTTTTTTTTTAAGTCCGGTAGCGTCCGTCCAGTTTAAAACTGGACCAGAGGTTTGTGCTGCTGGGCAGGGGATGTGCGCTTGATGACGAAACCTCATTCCCGACCCTAATATTTTACTGCTGGCTCACGGAAAAATCGGTACCTCCAAGTTCCTGAGGAGGTCTTCAGAGCACTTCAATCACCAGAAATAGCTCAGTCGCTAATTTGAAATCAGGGATTTCTAGTGATGGTTTCTGTGAACGAGCGGCGGCGGCGCTTGTGGGACGGCTTCGGGTTTTTCGTTCTGTTCAGTCTCGTACTTGGCAGGGAAGTTCACGTTCACCAGAATCGTGTGTACGCGACTGGAGAATCCTTGTGCCGTGACTTGTATGTTTATATTTCCTGCTGTTCGTTGATTTATTTTTGCCTTTCTGTCATGGAAAAAAAACTATTATTGGCTCATGCCAGTTAAGAGAGGCATTCGAGGACGATTTCGAGGGAATCTTAGGACAGCTTGGAGCTTAGGATTGGCAACTGAAACAAGTTGTTGCTTGTTACTGTACCGGGAACGGTGTGTGCAGGGGGGATGGGGGGGGTTCAAGTTAGTTGTTGAGGGGGATAGGGTGGGTGCCAGTGGCAGTTATCATTGTGCCAGTGACATTGGCAAGACAGCATGGTGCCACTGCCTATTGCTTCCTGGCCCTGTTCGGGGGGGGGGGGCACATAGTACACCGCAAGGGGGGGTGTATCCTGGGTGATTTCTGTGGCTTGTGTACCGGCTGGCGGTTTCCGGGTGCGAGCAAGGTGCTGCTTTCTAGAAACTGCCTTCAGGACAAACGTAACGTTGCCAAAAATTG